ACAGAGGAAAAGCTATGCCCTATCCAATGCTCTGCAACTCTGAAATACACAAAATATGGACTTTAAATTTCCCAGATCTTCTAATGCTTAGAAGAAACATCTAACATAGTGTGAATACACACTTGCTGTCTAACTTGCATATCTAAATTCGGTTCCCAAACAGTCTTAGTTCTCAACAGTCAATGGGACCTCCACAAAGGATATACAGTACTAGTCAGAACCTTAGTTAGATGGCATGAATAATCCCCACACATTCCTTGGTGCAGTTACGATGATATCATCAAGAGGAAAAATAAAAGCCTACAACTTGTGGTCGATGATCAATGACTAGAGAAGATAGTTTAAACACACAGGCTTAGCTAGGCTTCTGCAATCCTTCCATCCACAAGAAGAAATCAAGAGAGCCCCTTAAAGCACAGGCTACACAGGAGACATGCAAGAATCAAGAGTAGCAAAGTATAAAAGGTAAGGAAGTAACGGAAAAGGAAGGGAAGGAAGGGAAAACCCTGGAAAGGTGATGGAACAGCTCATCCTGGAGGTCATCACTAAGCATCTGGAGGACAGGAAGGTGATCAGGAGTAGTCAGCATGGATTCACCAAGGGGAAATCATGCTTGACCAACCTGATAGCCTTCCATGATGGAAGGACTGGCTGGGGAGATGAGGGGAGAGCAGTGGATGTTGTCTCCCTGGACTTCAGCAAGGCTTTTGACACTGTCTCCCATCACATCCTCCTAGGCAAGCTCAGGAAGTGTGGGCTGGATGAATGGACAGTGAGGTGGATTGAGACCTGGCTGGATGGCCGAGCTCAGAGGGTTGTGGTCAGTGGCGCAGAGTCTAGTTGGAGGCCTGTAGCTAGTGGTGTCCCCCAGGGGTCAGTCCTGGGTCCACACTTGTTCAACGTATTCATCAATGACCTGGATGAAGGGACAGAGTGCACCCTCGGCAAGTTTGCTGATGATACGAAATACGAAACTGGGAGGAGTGGCTGACACACCAGAAGACTGTGCTGCCATTCAGAGGGACCTGGACAGGCTGGAG